AATAATTAGGTAGAGGGTTGGTAGGGACAGCGATCTATTGAGAATGTTCTAGGTCTGCATCTCCTGCAGCAGAAAGGGGGTTACAAGGTTCCATCCAGTTCTAGACATATATAATTCAATTTAAAAAGTGATGTAAAATCCTCCTTCCAGTCATATTGATGCACATTTAATAATTCAGCTTGAGTCTGATATGATTTTAAAACTACAAGGAATATTGCTTTGCTCCACATTTCAAGTAACTCATAGGAGCCACAAACTCTTGCATAAGCCATTGAGCTTTGAGCTGTTGACTATGTACTTCAGTTCTACTCTAGCTTTAATCACATACAAATCTTTTAAATGTCTCTGTATGAAGCATAAACCAAAGATTGTAATAACAAGAAAAAGAAGCTGTTATATTAATATTAGCTGCCTTTAAATTAATTTCATCTGTAATTTTCGATCGTGAGGGTAACTGCAAAGGCAAAGAACATTTTTAGGACACTGTGGCTCAGTTGAATTGAACCCCTAACAAGAAGAAGGAAATAGAAGTTTGTTTACATTAAGCAAAGGGAATATTGCAAATGTAAAAGATGCCTCTCCAATTTGGTCCAGGATTGCTGGTTCTTCTTGAAGTTATGTTAATTCCTGCATTGCACAGGGTTGAACCAGATGACTCTTGAGATACCTTCCAACTCTACAATTTTATTATTCTACCCCCCCCACCTGAGGTGTTTGAATGCACTTTAGAAGATACCACAGAAGAGTAAACAAATCTGGACTAGGGCTGTTAACTCTAGATAGATAGAAATGTGATGGTTCAATATTCTGGTGGCAGTGGTTGCAGGAAATACGTCCTTCCAGCTTACATGATAACTGTCCCTTTCTCTTTCTTTCTTTTTGATAAACCAGACCTGGTCTCAGTCATTCACCTTCAGATCAGACCACTTTAATGTTCACTATGTGGGGCTGCACTTGAAGACAATCTGGAAGTTTCAGATTTCAGCAACCAGAAGCTTGGACAGGAGCCAGTCAATCAGTTCATATTACACAGATCTTGTACCAGCTTAACTGATCTTGTTTCCAGGCTTAATGCAAGGAGCTGGTTTTGACCTCTGAAACCCCAAATGGCCTGGGGCCAGTATTTCTCAAGAATTCCTACAATCTCCCCTACATTTCTGAGACATTTAGTTCAGCAGCCAAGAACTGGTACCCTCTCCCATGAGAGGTTTGTACCACACTTTTAAATGGGGGGTGAAGAATGCATAATTTCAGCAGTCTTTTTGCAGATTATCATTCTATTCTGCTGTACTGGGGCAGATGGGGCTCATCAACCTGGGAAGGTAGCTTACCTAGGAGAACAAAAACTCTGATCCTAAGCCTCCGCTGCCTTGTGGGGTATATTTAAGAGAAGGAGAGGCTAAAAAATAAACCCTACACAAACTTGGAGTGCAGTCTCTAAGATAGGGCCTCCTACACCTCCTACCGGCAACTGCTGCAGCCAAGCCCAGGACCTCCATACACACTGCTGAGGCCTGAAGAGGTCACTTCAGGGCTGCTAATGCCCACTCCATTCTCTCTCAAGACGGACAGATGCCAACAACAAACTGCTACTGCCTTTTTACTTTTTAGGCTGCAGTCTTATTCACTCTGACCTGGAAACTCAATGGGAATTAATTTTGAACTGACTTATACAGGATAGCATGTTTTAGAGATCACCATGGGATTTACTGATATTTGTGTTGTTATTTTGCTTTCCCCCTTTGTCTCGAAGGGGCTGCATTTTTATCTCTTTGCTGATTCCAACTGGAAGACACAATTATAGCAAATGGGAACTCACTGAATTATCATTATTGCATCTATTAGTCTACTTAAAATGTATCCAACTGACTTAACAAGATAAAGCAGATAAAATCTTTCCTTAGGTACTTTTACATTCATTTACACCTCTCTACATTTTTATCATCTACTTCTAGTTTAACACTTCAGTATTGGGGAATCTGCCATTTGAACAAACTCTCTGAGTGCTTTCAATATTTAAAACAGCACCATTTGGCTATTTTCTGTTATCCAGAAGCTGATTTTCCAAGCACAGTAGCTATTATCAAGTCCAGATCTCAAGATTCTGAGCCAACATTGAATTATTGCCTTGGTAGACAAAAACTAATTTTGATGTATAGATGTGTGTGCGTATTGCAGTTGTTTTCTATAAAGACCTCTGCATTCTCATGTTCATTACTACAAAGTTTTTGCTATCATTTACAGTCTTATGGGTGGTCTACTATTTCCACTAATGTTAATGCTAGAAGACCAAAGCAGGGTTAAATTAGGCAAGCACCATTAACTGCAAGACAGCTGCATGTGTACGCACGAGTAAGTTCTCTCTCATCTACCTGTAACTCAACTGTATATCTATCTTTTTTGTCTTCTGGTAATCATACAAAGGCCAAGAGAAAGAGAAAAAACCCCAAAAAGCAGAGAATCTCCCCCCTGCTTCTATAGGTGAATTAATTCCAGACCATGGGTTGCTTAATGTTTAACCAATAACAAAGTAAACTATTTCCATCTGAAATGCCAGATATTCATGTGGAACAGTCTTCCCCCTGAAATTTTGTTATATTATTAAAACTACTCCTTCACCTCGAAAACAGACAGGGTTTCTGGCAAGCAACATAAACCAAAAAAATGGAATCTATATGTGTAATCTAGCTCACAAAACAGTACAAAACTGAAGAACACATGTGGAGAGGTGGTAGAATAGGGATTTTTTTTTACAACTTTATCCTATGTACGCATACTTAGAAGCAAACTCCATTAATGTCATTACAACTGTGTAAGTGAACTTCATGGTTTTATTAGCCAACCTACTTGAATGCATGTTATTAAATCAATCAGGAACAATTCATGTTTATCAGATGGCTGAATTCAGCACATATTTTTTAGATGGGAATTGCCAGCAGAGGTCACCATTGCTTTAAATGGCCATGATAAACAGTGACATTTTCAAAAACTGTAATGGATGGTCTGGGAGAGCTCCATCAGCCTGGCCTGGACTGACATTATGTGACAGAACTGAATTTTGTACTACTGTATTTCCATGCATGCTACACTTTATGGTGTTTAAGCAAAAATGCAACAGTTTCATTTTCAACAGTTGAAACACAACCACAATACAAGCAGAATTAAATTGTTTAGTACAAATAATAAATACACCTCTTCTTTAAACTGATGCTTAGAAAACAAACTACAGCGATCTGTACGTGAGTCTTGAAACAGACTCCCCCCCCCCTTTGAAATACATGCAAGTGACACAGAATTTTAATGTGTACATAAGCAAAACAAATCTGCATCAACAAGTGGGATCTATCTCACCAACACAACTTCAGACTTCATAATATACCAGCTGAATTTTTCTTTGTATGTTGTACTGTGTAAAGGATAAGCACTTTCCATTCAGAAACAAGTTAGTTTTCTTGAATTGAAACTTTGACACTTTGAAGCAAGTTGAACAAACACAATTTCACAACTCTAGCTTTCTGCCCATTTTTAAAATGAGAAACAGAGAACAACTAAAAGAAGAAGAGCAAGGTTGCTTCTGAGCAAAGTTGTGCTTACCTAATACTAGGAGAAAGTAATGAGCAACAGAAACTTCATGACTTCCTCTCCTAGCATCTTGTGAAACAGATTTTGTCCCTTAAGGGTGAGTTCTCTGCATTTCTCAAGTTGCTGAATTATCGTTATCCCAATTCCACATACTCCTTTGAAAGTGACTGTATCACTGAACAATGTCTCCAGATGTTTCAAAGATTGTTAAGCAATGATTCAGATACTTGATGTTAAGGTCCTGATCATCTTTGGCTCAATATATGACTCCTCTAACCCATTTGGCCGTTGGTCCTTATTATCTTTTTTTGTCCTGTAGGCGAATGCCTGACTCCCCCCCACCCCCAATAATACAATTTCATGGACCATAATGACGTTTCTCATTTTATAGCAGTACAGTGCCATGGAATTATTTAATGATGGAATGTCGATCAAACAATGAGAGCATCACTGGAACCAGGTAAGAGAAAGTAAAGCTAACATGAGGAGTTCTAGACAGAATCTCTTCCTACAGTGTAACAACAAAGTTCTGATGCATGTTTTCAGTTAAGCTAAGGTACAAGGCTACGGTTATGCTGTACAAGAGAAAACCCACACCTAGTTTATACAAAGGATTTACAGTAATACACTTCGATGCTCACAAATTTCCAAGCTTGTGACAATTTGGAAAAAAAACCAGCCGGACGAGCACACTATTCATATATCCATTTATTTCCTGCAGGTTTCCCACCGGACAAGGCAATGCTCAAAAGTTAAGGGGTGGAAGAAACAGATCCACAAACTGTCCCAAGGAGCTACAAAAACAAAACAACCCCCTCCCGCTCATCTGCTCGCCTCTTTCCCCTTCTGGCTGGCATTCGCTTTCAGGGGTGGGGGGGAAAGCTTAATCACAAACCATAAATCAATGAGCACCGTCAGTTTCCATCCTGTCCCAGCAGGGAGTTTGTAGCTGGAGGGGAACTCAACCCTGTACGTGTCTGGGGGCTTTAAAAAGTGTAAAAACAGCGCGAGAGAACCACAGCCTGTGCCCTGATTTACACCAGAATGCCATAGGCATTTTTCCCCCCGTGCGACCATACGCGGAACTAGGCGAAAACGGGCTACACTCACGCCGTTTATGGATTTATTTATTTGATGAGGGACCCCTGCGCCCTCTAAGCCATGACTTTCGGACGGGGCTGCGGCTCCCCAGAGAAAGACGCGCCACTAATCTTCTCATCCCAGAGGCTGCTGGGCTTGCTTGGTCCAACCCCACGAGGGACCTTCATTGCCAGTGACAGCCCCGGGACCGCAGCCTGCGGGCTTGGGAGTTGGCTCGCGTCCCCTGCGGCCGGCCGCTCCGCGCCCGGGCAGCCCAGAAGCAACTTCTCCTCACGCGCCTGCTGCGTCCATTGGCCCAAGGCGGGCTGGCGACTCACCTCAGCGCTGCGACCGCGGGCAGGTGGAGAGAGGCCCCCCTAGGAGCTGCTGCTGCCGCTGCTGCTGCTGCCGCCGCTATAGGCGCCGTCGCGCAGGCTCACGCACGGGATCCTCGAGCGCCTCGCTCCGTGGCCACTTTCCCAACGCACGCGAGCCATTCACTTCGCGCGCGCGCCGCAGCCTCATCCACGGCGCTCTCGCTCAACTCCGACCGAGCCGCCGCTGCTGTTGCGGCAACTGACTCACGAGAGACAGACTCGCCTGGGTCCTAGCGCCATAAAAAAAAAAAAGGCGCGGGAGCTGCACAGACTCGCCGCGCGCAGCCCAAGAGACACTGGGCGGGAAAGTCCCCTGAGGGGGCGCGGAGCGACTCCCGGGAAAGACGTCGCTCGCCCAGGCCGCCCGCGAGCTTTTTCCCGCCCTCGCGCTCGTCCGCCTTTGCTGGGCTCTCGAGAGGGACTCGCCGGCACGTGCGCGGCTCCTGTCTCCTGCGGGAGATGAATGGAAATGCAGGCGAGCGCCTCGGGAGGCCTGCTCGACTTCTGATTGGAGGAGGGCGGGCGGAGCGCCCCGCGAGGAACCTCCCACAGCTGCGCCGGGCCACTCCGCGCAAAGGAAGGCGAACGTTCCAAGCCCCCTTGAGTCATCTGTTTGGGGGCGATTATCCAGTTTCGCGCCGGAATTATCTGGAATAATTAAATTTGGCAGCTTTTTTTTTTTTTTAATTCTTCCTGGAGGTCCACTATAAAATACCTGTTCCGTAAACAATCAACAATCCCAGTTCCTGTCGCATTGAGTTTTGAAAGAGCAGTAAAGTAGATTCATAAAAAGCAAGGTTTGGATTCATGAAGAATGCAGAGTAAACCCGATTCACAGGTAGATGAAAACAAACCCCGCTGCAGATTAACTCAGTGAAAACTCCGGATTCTTGGTTCACGAATGATGAATCCTCTCCCGTTCAAAGAAGATGCAACAGACCACCAAACTGCAAACAGAAAGGTGTCAACTTTTGGAATGAAGGAATTCCATTTTGAGCCACCAACATCAGCCAATAGCCATAAGAATATAAGAACAGGATCAGGTCAGTGGCCCATCTAATCGGGCATCCTGTCCTCTCAGCGGCCAACCAAATCCCAAAAGGGAGCCTGCAAGCCGGAGCAGACTCTCTCCCGTTGCCATTTCCAGCAACTGATATTCTGAAGCAGGCTGCCCCCAACAGTGGAGACAGAGCATAGCCATCAAGGCAAATAGCCTTCTCCTCCATGAACTTGCCTGTTCTTCTTTTAAAGCCATCCAAATTGCTGGCTATCCCTGCCTCCTGGGTGGGTGAGCTCCATAGTTTGGCAATACACTGTGTGAAGAATTGCTTTCTTTTGTGTGCCCTGAATCTTCCAACATTCAGCTTCTACAAGTTCTAATGTTAGGAGAGAGCAAGAGAAAAACTTGCCTCTATCTGCTTTCTCCTACCATACATCATTTTCTACACTCCTATCATGTTGCCGCTCACATTTTCTCTATATTAAAAGGCCAACCAAGGTTTTAACCTCGCATCACAGGGGAGCTGCTCAATCCCCTGGATCATTTTGGTTGCCTTTCCCCCCCTGAATGTACAACATCCTTTTTTAAGGTGAAGCAACCATAACTGAACATAATAACAAGTTTGCTAAAATAAAATTGGGAATCTTATATTAAAAAGTGAATACATAGCCAATTAACTGTTCACAAATTGCTAATTGCAGTTTAACTAGCCATATGCAAACTGCATATTCCGAACAGGATGCTGGGCTAAATGGACCTTTGATTTGATCTGGCAAGGTTCTTCTTCTGTATATGTACAACTTTCAAAATGTTGAGTAAGAAATTCAATCCACTGCTTTTGCACCAGCATAAGCAGAGCTCATGCCACAATAAACCAATTTGTTCCCAAGGTGTCGCCTCGTACTTGGTGCTCCCAAATAACATGCATGTTTGCGTAATAGCAAATTGCATAATTTATCAATAACAAAGCAATAAATCATTCCTTCAGACTCTGAATATAAATACGCAGTTTAGACACATTGTACAACTCATATTTGTTTCATCTCTTTGCTGGCAGCAAAGATGGATAAGGTCTCTGAAAGGGATGTAAGCATAGCTGTCAACTTTTCCCTTTTCTTGCGAGGAATCCTATTTGGAATAAGGGAATTTCCCTTTAAAAAAATTGAAACATTAACAGCTATGGATGTAAGCCTGAAACTAACAACATACCTTGTGCAGAGATGGCTGCCTGCTTCACACTTCCATAGAACACAATGGCTATCTCAGCATAGCTGCAGTATTTGCCACTTCCATGTGGCCAGGGATGCATGTGGCTGTGGTGATGTCTTCATTTGGCTTCTTGAATGATTTCATTGTAAGCACCATTCCAGCACATTTGGCTCCCAGTATGACAAAACACTGCTGCTAGTCTGAAACACATGGGAAGTCAAATTCAGGTGGTATGAGAGTTGCATGGAACCTGAAATGCATGACTGTACCAATCGTGCTGCAGACTATGTAATAGAAACATTGAACTGGCTCTTCTTTCTCAAGACACAGCTCCAAAATACTCAATTTTACAATATCCTTCGATGGCAACCTTACTGAAAATAAAGGAATAATTCCAAAGTGCTGTGGGAATTGTCTATGATTTTAAAAAATAATAAAGATAAATGATAACAGGCAACACCTAAACTAACCATGATAAAGTCCTGTTCAGAAACACAACATACTACACCCCTTGGTAACTTGGGCCCTCTTACTTGAGAATAGACTGGCCTCAGCTTCTGATCCCAAGTTCAAATGTGTAAAATGATGTAACATACATTCCATCCAGCAGAGGGAAGTGTGGTGAGATGAGTACCATATCTTTTAAGTCTAGGAAGGCTGAAGATTGATGGGGGGAAAGTTTGGTGTGCTGAAAATGTATCAGAATCCTTGGAAATTAGGGGTGTAGTATGCAAACTCTAGCAATCCTCTACAGTTATGGTTTGGGTAAGCAGGTAGGCAGCAGTTGTCGGGCAGTGAGTTTTATTTTAAACTCCTGCACCTGGAATGCTTGTGTACAATATATGTCATGACTAGAAAGCGCCACCTAGTTCTGCTTTTTATATTCTAATTTTAAACACACATGCAAACCGATTAAATGGTCAACATTCCAGACTTGGCTTACATTTTGACTGTATTTTTTCTTTTTCCTGTCTATTCACTGGTACAGTGCAAATTTCAGCACATGCATTTCAGTTTCTTTGGAAAAGAGCAAAGCACCTGCCTAACCGCAGTGCTGAAATCAATGGGACTGAAATGTTATATAGAAAGAAATTATTTTGGAAATATGCTATATGACACACTGGGATCCATTCTAGGCCCTGTTATGCTGAACACTCTGTGAAGCAGTAATTCTGATCGCTTTGTGCTCCTGATTATTGTGGTTTATGTTTTAATTGCCTTATTGTTCTTACTGTGAGACAAACAGTGCATGCAATCCACCTGTTTTTTCACATAATAATAATAATAATAATAATAATAATAATAATAATAATAATTTATTATTTATACCCCGCCCATCTGGCTGGGTTTCCCCAGCAACTCTGGGTGGCTTCCAACAAAACACTAAAATACAATAACCTATTAAACATTAAAAGCTTCCCTAAACAGGGCTGCCTTTAGATGTCTTCTAACAGTTTGGTAGTTATTTTTCTCTTTGACATCTGGTGGGAGGGCGTTCCACAGGGCGAAGAACCACTTGGGAGATGTTTTATATCTTTCACCTCCCATTTCTCCTCCTTGCTCCCAGACCAGGAGGTGTCTGGAGTTGTGGAGGGGAGAGTAGTGCTCTTAGCAAGGCCCAGCAGAGCAAGACAGGGACCCAGTCTGCACTTTCATTTCATCTTTTCTTAGTGTGGACTTAGTGCAGTTGAATTGGGTAGGCAATGTGAATAGGCCAGGTCCTGTGGCTAGGCAAAAAACTTACCCAACTCAACAGAGTTCAAATTAAAACAACAAATCAATTATCCAGCATTCATAACTACAGCTTGACATTTATTACCATTCACTAGAGTTAATAGGAACTCTACCATGCAGGACTGCTAAGCAGACTTGCAGAGAAATGTAAGAAGGGAGTTTGTTCTAAAAGCCTGATCACTGATTCTTCAAGCACACCCAACAAGTTCTTCACTTTACATTGATTTCCTCTAATATTATGTTGATTTCCTCTTTGCCTAATTTTGACTTAAGATGGTCTAAAATTCTGATTGGGAAAGTAATTATTTGATGCTTGTGTTTGCTCTTGTTAACTTGACAAATCATCCAAGCCTATATTATGCTCATTCCGAGATGCTCTTTATTCAGCTGCATAAATAGAACTGAATATTAAATGTAAATAACTACATATTTTTTGGATTTTATGTGTTGTAGCCCCTCTGTTTTTACTATTTTTGATTACTACTGTTACAGTGTCCAACTACTGTTCCCATTCTGCTGTGAGTTAACACAATATATCCAATGTTCAGCCTACAAGCATGCCTTTTATATTGGGCACCAACTTCTGAGAAGTCTTTACCTCAGGGTCTCTCTGGGGACTGAAAGGAGGGATATAAATATTTCAATATGTAGGTATGCCACTCTTTACTATATCAGCACTTGTCTGCCATTACATACACTGAAAACCAAGTTTACATTCACAAGCAAAGCCAGGCCTTCCCAAACTTCTCCTGTTGTTGTTGTTGCTGCTGCTGTGGCTGGAGGGGGAAGGATGACTTTCTTCCCTTTGCCCCCCCCCCCACTTATTTGACTGAGAGAAGGAAGCCTGGGGGATGAGTGAGCTGTGAGGGGAAGGGTTTTTTGGGGGGGGGATCAGTAAAGGGAGGGGGAGGGAGTTTGGCCAGTTGCAAAGGGAGGGCAGTTGGCAACAGAGCTGGGAGTTTGGCAGGGGTTGATTAGCCCTATGTTAAGTAACATTCAGCGCCCCATCATTTCCTATTTTAGTAGATACCAAATTCAAACATTCATCACATTTAAGAAAAACAAAACTTGCAACAGTGATTTATTTCGTTATTAAATTTATATCCCACTTGAATAGGATGGCAGAAAATATACATTGATCACAAGATTGTTAAGGCTGTTGCACACATTGCAAAGCAGAAAACCCAAGTTTGCCACCGTGAGTATACTTGAGACAGAGCTCAAGTCAGATCTGGCTCTCTGATGTCAGAGTCTGCAAATAATGTGTGTTTCCATTCCAAACATGTGTTTGCCTCTTCTGCATTCTACATTTTAAGATGGACACTTCCCAAATGTAACAAATTAAATGACCCTACGATAGCATACCTCAGTGATTTTCTAAGCAATTCAGCTTTAGGTATCTACTAGCTTGTAAATGAATGAGAGGAATGGAGTATTTGCTTGTTTTGCCAGCTTTGTGCAGCTGAGCAAGGCTGTACTCAATACTGCTGCTAAGTAGAGAAATGCTAATATAATCTTCTGATTAACATCTTGTATCAATTTGTTCATGGCTGCAATGTACATAACATACTCCCCAATACTGAAATACTACTGAGACTTAACTTTAATCTATCCTGATAATTTACAGCATTGCATCTGCTCGAATAAAAGGGCTGTGTTACATTGACAGTGCAACCCTGTGCACATCTACTTAGGAGTAAGCAGTGCTTTTTCTCTGACAGTTGTTACTAGTACAAAGTACTGTCACTTTTGTTGTTGTTGTTGCCCATTGCAGCCATTCGGTGCTGGTACCCATGGTACACACACA